TGGGGCGTTTAATGGTTAGGAGGTGTTTAAAAGAGAGGCGATTAATGATCATAACTGTAACAAGCTCAACAAAACTAATATGCTCTCGGCAAAAATATCAACAGAGTTTAAAAATAGCGGAATATCCACTCCATCAATTGATGCGTCAAGGCCGGAGTCTAGAGATCAATTTCGCTCTTTCATGTCCCAACATCGACGTGAGAATCCTTGCTCAGCATTATGGTTTTGCCGTTGTTAGTGTATCCTTGCTTTGAACTTGGCAGTGAGCAAAATGAAATGCGCAAAGCCAAGCAAAAAACTGAATGAATTGAATGATTTTGTTCCTTTTTGCTAATTCCTAGTATCTTCGCGTAATTCTCTTAGGGGACGTCTGTTAGAGAGAGGCGTCCAATTAAATACAATTTTAACATCGTAGAGGGGGCGTTTATTAGATAAGAGGCATTTATTTGGAAGTAAGCGTTTATTAGGTCATTTACGGTAGTTGTTTGCTATGGTTTTAATTCCACGCAAGCCATGTACATAATCCATATTTTCTCCCCTTTTGACAATGCATTTTTCATATATAATAATATATAGATTTAGCCAGGGCTAAAATATTTATAATGATATACCTTATTATAGGAAATTAACGCTCCATGAAATTAACGCGAATCGTTAAAATTCGCGTTAGTTTAAGTCGTGTTAATTTTGTTGAGCGTTAATTTCGGCGACGTTAATTAAGTGCAGAGTTAATCTCCGCGCTCTTAATTTCCAGTATTTTAACCCCAATTTTGGAACCTGTCCAGACACTCTTGACACCTAAGAAAAACATTAACTACAAGCTTTCTTTCTTTCTTTCTATTTACCCTTTATTTTTCATCTTTCACAAAAGCGAAGGCGAAGGTTTACAATATTTCGAGTTCATCTTCATCGTTGTCGCTGACAAAAGTTATGTTTGATTTTGGCCAAGATAACCGCGTTAATTTCCTTTCCCTTCCCTACCTCCTGTTTGCGTTAATTTTCTTTATTCCAAAGTCGTTTTCCATTAAATTCGCGTTAATTTAAGTGGCGTTAATTTCCAATACCTTAATTTCATGGAGCGTTAATTTCCTGTAATAAGGTAGTAGATAATATTTGTAGTTCGTTCAAACAAAATAAATCGTTTATTGCTAAGCGGCGAAGGCAACGCCGGAGAACGGTGAAAAACAACAATACGTCTAATTAGTATAGGTAATCACATGATTTCGAGTGCGATTTGGAATAAATAAGCACGAGTCAATTTTTCAAAGACCACAAAGTGCACTCGCCCTACGGGCTCGTGCACTTTTGTTGGTCTTTGAAAAATTGACTCGTGCTTATTTATTCCAAATCGCACTCGAAATCATGTGATTACCTATACTAATTAGACGTATTGTTGTTTTCACCGTTCTCCGGCCGTTCTCGTTCACCGTTCTCCGACCACTTTGTGGTCTTTGAAAAATTTACAAGTGCTTATTTATTTCAAATTGCACGAGAAAAATCATGTGATTACTTATTAATAATATACACGAAAAAAATAACTACAACAAAAAAAAATTGACGGGGCGCGCATTTTTTAGTTCATTCAACTGATTGGCTGAAACAGATTACAACGTTTGTCAAATGCAAAGTTTTACAAGACTGACACGTGCAAAATCATTCAAATTAGAACTTGGAAATGTGTGCGAATTGATTTAACACCTTTCAAGCGTTTTACATTTATGTAAAGGAAACTCGCTTTACAATAATCGGAAAAGTAAACGTTCAATCAGAATCATCCTCAATAATGAACCCTCGGCGTTTACAAGAACTGGGCTGTCGTTTTGAAATCTCAGGAGCTCGCTTCGAGCGGCCAATGATGAAAGACACTTGACAGTTGTTGAACGTGTTCATCATGGTCTGTTCCTGGGACCTCATCATGGTTGGATTCACGGAGAAATTCTGAACTTGAAAACCTGAAAGTGATGGAGGGAATTGGTTTTCTTTCGTCGCTGTCATCGATGGGCCGGCCAATGTGTGTGGTACGGGCACTTTCGTGTTTACCGGACCGAGTGGAGCCACAGTTGTTGTGATGTCGGAAACTGCCATTCGCTTTTTCTCAGCACTGGGGTTTTCATAATTTCCTTTGGATATTGCACTGGAAAGTCTTCGTTGTTCTTCCTCGTCGGCTTCATCGTAATCGTCAAGGGATTGTACGCTTCGGTGGCCTATGACCTTCACAATATCTGAGCGTTCAACGTTTGCTTTCTTTAGCTTGCTCACTGTTGTCTTTCTAGCACTGTGATTCGTGAACTTTTTGTGACTTTCTTCAAGGCTAGTACCCGCCACAGTTGTTTTCATCATGTTGCTAATCGTGTTTACGCCCATTGGTTGAGTTTTGAACCAGATGTTGTCATTCAGTGTTCGGCTTCTTTTGATACTGAGGTAGAAAGGACCTGACCATCGCATGTTTAGTGGTCTTCGCTCGACAAACTGCTTGAAGATAGCAACCGGACACCTTTCTCCTCCAACAGAGAACATTCGGGGCTGAAAATCTCTGTTCTTGCTCTGCAGTCCGCCCTGTCTGGTCTTCGTTGGACCTTCGGTAAACTGCACGAACTCCATACCTTCGTCATTTTTGCAGAGTTGAAAATCTTCCATTTTCATTGCGTGGTGTTCTTGACGGCCGCGGAGACCAAAGAACTGCGTCAAAAGCCACCACATAGAAGAAATAAGCGCTTCTGGAGTTTTGGAACCAAATTTTTCTGCCTCCCACAGCACCTCTTCTTCTTCCTCAGTTAAACTTCTGGCTTTATTTGGACGTTTGCCCATACCAGATTGGCGAAGCTGCCGAGCTTTCCCCTCTAAAACTTGCTTGGAAGAGTGGAACTCCCTGTCTCTTATGATGGAAAACTTGTATCCTTTCTCGTTTAAATGTCTATCAAGTGCAGCTATCATCACTCTTAAGCTGTCTGGCTCGTAGTCGTCACCGTTTTTGTTTTTTACTTCAGCGTAGAATGTTTCAAGTAGCTTGTTTAGTTTTTCTGGCTCGTTTTCCTCGATTTTGTTGACAATATTTTTCTGTTTGCACCACGTCTCCCATACATTCAGCCAGAAAGACGTACTCTTTACTGTGTTTGGGTTTTGGGAAAAATTTTTTAGCTCTTCAATCGTTTCACTTGCAAAACCAAATCGTTGTTTGCTGAAAACCCCGGCCATTTTCCTCCGCGTCTTATCTCAAAATTTCCGCCAATATGTTGCTATAGAAACAGCTCTAATCTGATTGGTTCTTGTTGGTTTCTTTTGTGTTTTTAGCCAATCAGAAAGCATTTGTAATTTGCACTCGTGTTACAAGTTTCCACTCGTGTTACACATTTTGCACTCGTGTTACAGAAGAACTGCACTCCTTTATCAGCCAATCAGAATTGAGTAACTTTTTCGTGTATATTATTAGCAAAAAAACCAACTGTGCACGTGCAGTACATTTCTTTGTCGTTGTTTTCCACGACTACAGCGTCAAACTTCCAGAAACTTCTTAGTTACACTTTTAATGGAGGAAATTTCGTACGTGTTCTCGTTCACTTTTTTTCACCGCCGCTCATTTTCACCTTGTATTTGATTGTTGGCCGCTCGCATTTTGTCACCGCCGCTACCAACAAAAAAAACGTCTCCTTTTTTTATGTCTCGCTCTATATCTCTGTCGCCCTTTTTTTGGTTGAGCTTCGCTGGCCTGCCGCCTTCTTTCTCTTTTTCTCTGTCTTTCTCTTTCTTTATATTCCAAATTTGTGGACATGACAATTAAGCTTAATACTTAACACAACGCGGATACAGAAACAATTTCTGCTTTCCGTTTTCGTCTTTATTGACCCTTTAGCTGTCTGTACTTTACAGGACGCCGGTGGCTATGCGATTTCCCGCCAAAATAACCTCGAGTTGCATTTGGGTTGCCACACCTGTTGATTGAGTTATTTTACATCGGTTTGCCTGTGGTGCAGTCGGGCGGGCCTACGGTCACGTGATTACCAAACTTTCTCGGATGGGTAGATTACAGGGTTTTCCCTCGATATTTTCCTTTCGTAGTCCCTAAGACTCCTTTAACCCAAGGTTGAGGGTCCCAGAGGGAACAGAGGGAGTCCGAAGGTTAGCATTGTTTCAAATTCCAGGAAATCTTTAAAACATTTTCGGGTTTCTTGTTAAAAAGAGAAGCATCACTACAACCGTTCGCAGCCTAAAGTTCCATTATTGGCATTTATCAGCAGCATGTTGTTCTTAGTCATAAGATACACTTTTTTATGCTGAACAATGTGCCTCCTTGTAATTTCCAGGGTTTGATTGTCGATGTTCTTCTTTGCATTTGAAACTGTCGCTTGAAAGCTTTTTCTAAGCTTGAGGTCTGTGATACTCAAAATGTGGTCTTTAGAACTTTGGTGCCTTTCCAGGGCCAACTTCTGAAGATTGTTATAGCTTACGGTTGTGAAAGGGTTTCTTTTACCTGTTGACTTACAGATATCGCAACCATGTAAATTCTTTCAACCAAACAGGCAGAAAACGCCTCTTTTTCTTAACGGGCTCATTGGGCTGTGATTCCAAATCCGCCATGTTTTTCCAACTCATTTTCTGTCCCAGAATGCCTCACAATAAAACATTAGTTCCCAAACCTCTTCAAGGAGTGTCAAATGTGGTTCCCCGATCGGAACATCAAAAAAGTAAGCTTGAGAACCTTTCAAAGTTAGTATGGCTCTTTCTAGTTTTAAAACAGTAGTCAGACAAAAAAAAGAAGATTAAAAGGTCTTTATATTTCATTCTCAAAAAAGATTTTTTGCAGATCTACGCAGTTCTAAACTAATTATTAGTAGACTATCGCTCTAGAACATGTGCGCCCTAGAGGACCGGTTCTCTTTGGTGTTTTGCGTCCTTTTTTTCTTTTTCGGCTAAACAGCGCGTCCTCTAAAGCGTATTTGCGCGTAAGGGAAAACCCTGAATTGATTACTTCATCTTCTTACCCATGGTGCTCCTTTGCGCACGAGAGCTCCGCTAATATCCCTCAAACGCTGGGTTGCGGGTTGTAGTCATTTACTTTTCTGTAAGTAAAGAAGAACTAATGACAAAATATCCTGTTGTCTATTGGGTAAGAAATTGTTAATATAATTACATATAAGTATAAATACTAAGTCTACCAGTTTCCCAAGCAAAAAATCCACAAGACAATGGCACTAAAGTATCTTTACCTCTTTTGCAGATTGTTGTTGTGTGGAACAACGTCAAGAAAGCCCCACCGTCTGGTAACATAACGATTATTTCCTTTTTTTATTATGGCAATGATATACCATCTTTTGATTGTCGCACCACAAGGCACTCTAGGGGCTGTTTACATAGGGGTGGGGGACCCCAGGTAGGTGAAGTAACCCGCTTATGTGTGGTAACCTGCTTGTCCATATAATTAAGCAGTAGAAAACGTTTTCCGTGTTTGCATAGCCTGATATAAACACGAGAGGGGTTGGGGGAATTCGAGACAGTTATGCAAACCCGAGACGAAGTCGAGGGTTTGCATAACTGTCGAGAATTCTCCCAACGCCTCGAGTGTTTGTATCAGGCTATGCAAACGCAGAAAAAAAGTTTTCTATTGCTTTTATAAAATAACTTTCCCGACAAAAAAACGCAAAACTCTTTGTATGGCACTGATTAAAAGAGAAATTCTTACCAGTCGCAAAATCTTGTCCACGAAGTCTTGCACGCGTAATCAGTTCTTGTTTTGCCAAAAGATGCTTTGCAAAATACGGATTTTTCTCGCTTAAAATGTCAGCTTATGCGAAGAAAAATTGACTCACCTTCTTTGTAACAATTTTCCATGTTTCAGCCGACGAAGGAATGGGTAAATAATGTAAACTTGTCGAGTTTTGAACTCGAAAACTTTTTCAAATTCGTGCTTGCGTGATTAGCGCGCGAAAAGCCAAACAACTTGACGCCTCGACCATGTTTACATACTCTCATGCAAACACTCCTCTCGGCCAATCAGAGCGCGCGTACTATCTTAGTTATTTTATGATCTTTCATATTGTGATCCCGTTTACATGATAAGTGGGGTGACCATATGAGAGATATTACCCCACCTAAGTGGGTTACCTCACCTACCTGGGCTACCCTTTCTTCTTGTGAACTGTCCCTTAGTCGACTTGCTAATCTTAGCAGCAAGCAGTCGCATGTTATTTGTCTAGTAAATTGCACAGAAGAGCTTGCGGCGATTCTCTTTGTAGCTCAGTCACCTTCACTGCCCCACTGATTTCACTGATATGATGGTTTTCTTTTCGTTCCTTTTCTTTTTTGCGGGGTTGAGGAAGACTTTGAAATCTACTTGTGACGAGTGGAAAAATTGCTAGGTTATGCAATTTTAACACTTACTCAACAAGAAGGTAGAAGACCGTAGAATTGATTAAAATGTCGAAGTGACCATACAGTCGGCTAGTCACAATTAATTCTTTTCCAACACTTAGGTTTGCCACGGGTACATGGTACATGTCAGTTAGGGACTAGTCACTGTTGATGATATGGAGGGTTGGGTGGAGCATTTTGTTGCGACAAAATGATCTCCTTTCACAGGATATTGACTGAAACACCACACGGGTACCCTTATGCAATCACGACCACTAGACTACCCAAGTACAGAAGCTGAAATACGCTCCGCGGTAAAAAAAATTAAAGAATGACAAAAGCACATATTTGGACGAAAATTAATAACAAACGAAATTATTAAAGCTAGCTTACCTATGATGTTTCCTGTTTGCCTTAAACGTTTTGAATACTATTCTCAGTTTAGGGACTGTACCAAATATTTGGTACAACGGTATTTATATAACTCCAATATTTAAGTTTGAGTCTGACGCAACAAATGGCCCGTCGAATTATCGCGGAATTGTCTGGGAAAGCTATTCTTTTCAATTTTAAACCAGACTGTTTGAACATTTCGTCTCTCTGAACACACTTCGTAAATCTCCAATCTGAGATCACATCCTGACCTTACGAACTCTTGTAGACAAGTACGTCGACTGTCATCGAAACAAAATGTACGCTTTTGTTGTTGATCTAAAAAAGACCGTTGACTCCGTTTGGCGTGAAGGGCTCTTACATAAATTACTGCAAATCAGTTTAGGAGGATGTTTCTATAAGTTAATTCAAAACTCTATATTCAAACTCTCCATGCACCTTAAGAATTGGTAGGAGTAGAACAAGACCCTTATATTACTTGAAAGGAGTACGCCAGGATTGCATCTTAAGCCCCTTGCTTTTCAATTTATACATTAATGACTTGCAATACGCACCTCAAAATACTTATCAGATCCCATCATTCTTCCAAATGGTATCACATTAAATTCTCTTTTGTACGCTGTTGACCTCTGATTATTTTATTCCGATCTTATGTGGGTTTGCAAAAATTAATTGTCTAAAATGACACGTTCCATTCTTGAAGCAGTTCTTGGTTGTTAGATATCAATACTAAAAAGGGCCAAAATTATGATCTTTTAAGAAACGCGCAAAGAAAACCTCAGACCTAGAACAGACCATTGATATTGTACACGAATACAGATATTTAGGAACCAGAAACTCCCCAACTGGTAATTTTAGTGTCTCTCGAACACTTGAAAGAGGAAGCCCTTCACGCTCTTTTCGGCTTGCGGAAAAACATAGACATTAGTAGATTAATACCTTCTTTGGCTTGTAAAATATTACATACTATCCTATAACTCTGAAATCTGGGGAGTTTACCAGAAACAAGATTTTAGAACGTGGGATAGCTCGCCAATTGAAAAATTCAATTTACACTTCCGCAAGCGATACTTGGAACTAAATAATAAGGCTTCTAACGCTGCATGTAGAGGTGATTTAGGTATTTTCATTAATAATTGATATGAATGAAAAACTTATACTACATTATGAATTTTTTTAAGAATGATGAGGACTCTATCGTCAAACAAGTATTACTTGAATCTGTAAATATTCATTCTAACGGCAATACTAGTTTTTATGGTAATACTAGTAGTAACCAAGGGCGAGGTAGTGCGGGCGAACATGTACGTTTACCTTAAAGTGCAATTGATGTTGAGAACGGATTTCATAATAGTGTACGTGAATCAGAGAAAGCCCTTTTAGATGCAGTGTCAACAAAAGGAATCACAGCGGAACATGAACGTCGTTGGAAACTGAATTGAACAACACAGTAAACA